AAACAGAATCCCTCACTTGCTTCACTGTCTGTGTACGCATCAATTTCTGCCCCATGCACATGATAATCACATGAGAAAGAGAGAGAGATCGACAAAGAGAAAGTACCTCAATAAAACTATTTTTATAATTATTTGATAAATTGTGACAACGCCTAGAGTAAATTCTCCAGCGATTGCTCACAGCCTCCATGCCCTGAATCTCTATTAAATCTCGGCATCCATCAACAAACAAAACTGGTTCTGTTTTTGACTGAATTGGAAGTCTTACGCTTTCGATTGATGTTCAACCATTAGCAAGCAATCCAGTTAAACTTGGGGGAAGCACTGAGATTGATGCAAGATTTCTGCAATTCTCAACCTTCATAACCTGCAGCTCAGGAAGGTGGCCAATTCCAGAAGGCAAATTGAAGAATTTGTTTCCTGATAAAGTCAGTTGTTGGAGAGAAGACAAACTACCAAAATCAACAAAGCCATATCAACTCTTTAGAAAACTGTTTTAAGAATCCAGTGAGATGTACCCCATTGATTTGAAGTAATTTTAAGTATCTCATCTTTGTAAATGATTCCGTGCTCAGAGGTGTAGCTTTCGATGCTCGTACATCTAGTTTGATACCTACAACAACCTCTGTTCCCTATAAGAATGAAAGTTAAAAGCACTGTCACCTATATCGATATGGAATTAGGCGACCACAGATTTATGTGTTCAATTATCACCATAGTTAGACAATAAATATACACAAGAATGTTTTAATGTACGAAAATATGCATATGCATTTTGTTCTTACCATTTGCTTGTTGAGTACACCCAACTCATCCCCACTAAACCAAATTCTGCATAGATATCAAGAATGCTCAGGTGACATTTCACGCATAACCTCACTCCCTATGTCTCGTAATAGATCATGCAGCATCAACTCATCATTCCAAGGACTAATTTTTACGAGAGACCTTTCAATGAGAATACTGATACCAATTTCCGAAAAGAAACCACGATCATTTAGTATTTTTGCTACATACTTTTTGATCCTTCCAACAAAAAAAAAACATGTAATATCAAAGAATACTCCTTTTAGTTCATCGTCATCAAGTGTCTCAAAACTTATTCCAAGCTTTACTTGAATATGATGTGGAATTTTTTGCAGTTTGTCGATTGCACATTTCCATTAAAGTATGCTTCTTTTGAACAAAGAAGAACCCAAAACTTAAAGAGCTAAAGGAAGCCCTCTACAGTAGTCTACTACATCTTTTGAAGCTCCACATAATCTTCTATCGAATTTGTGTCCCTGAAGGTATGCCAATGGAAAAGCTCAAATGAGTTAGCAGACGAGTATTTCTATTTGTAATGATTATTATTCTACTTCCAGAGCCAAAAGATCTTCCCTCTCTTACCAGTGCATCTAGTTGTTTCCGTTGATTGAGATCATCAAGAACAACAAGGACTCTTTTGCAGCATAATCGTTCTTTAATCAAATTAATTTCTCTATCTTCATTATAGACCTTCCAAATATTTGGCTTTAAAATATCTGAAAGAAATTGCTCTTGTAATTGAACTAAACCATTTGATTGTTCTGATTTTCTTTGACATTCAAAAGAAAACAGCTTCCCTCAATCCAGTTTTGCTACAGTTGTCTTACCTATTCCTGCCATGCCATGAATTCACACAACCCGAACATCATTTGTATCAATTCTTAGTGGGGCAGTTATATTATCAACATGGGAATCAATACCTACTAGGTGCTTAGTAACATTTAAGCATTTATGATTCAATTTATCCAACACATCTTCAACTATCTTTTGGATAAATTTTGATTCATAACGGTTAATAAATAAAAGGAAGCCATCATCAATGATGAGGTGATAAATATGATATAAGAATTTCTTGTTTTACATGTACAACTTGGTTTCAGAGGGTTCAATACATGTTAGGCAATAACTGAAACCCTAGCACAAGACACGGCATGGTACGTAATATTGCAAAGACATCAGCTGTTGTAAAATAGAGCCATTGATCAGTGAGGTTTCAAATGGTATGGATGTTGAATTTACAGAATCAACAAGTCCAGGCAGCCAAACAGAATCTCTCACTTGCTTCAATGTCTGTGAATGCATCAATTTTTTCCCCATGCATGATATTTCGATCTGCATTACAATAAAAATCAAATAAGAATTATCTCAACCCAAAAGCTTAAACTGATGGATGAGGCTCCAAAAATATATTTATATTACTCTCTAACACCCAAAATATACTCAAACAAAAGCTAAAATACAGTTCATGTCGCAAAAAAATAAACTCTTTAAATTTTGGCTTCTGAAAGACACTAAACATACTTGATTTTTAGATAGATTATGCTCTTAGAAACTTATTCTCCTATTAGTTTAACTGAATTTTACAACCATATTAAGTTTAGTTCTCTAGAGGTTGACTACCATACAGACTAATTAACTTGTTCAGAAGGGCCTTTAGCCCTTTACACACAGAGAGTTGCCTCTACGACATACATTCTCTACACCAGACTTTTGGTCTGGATTTTTCCGACCAAGTGATCTTTGATATTACATAAACTTCCCTATAACAATAATAGCTAAGACCACTTTTATTCCTTTATCAGTTTCTCAACCACTGATTTTCAAAATGTAAACCATAGCACACCACAAAATGTTTTCAGATTTGTAAATAGAGTTGTTTAACAACCACCCCTCCACAGACCGATCAAATTCATTTTCGTTGTTCAAAACAATTTTATACATCCTTAAAGGAATAATTGCATTATAAATATCCTAACTTTTGATGTTTTCTCAATTAAACATATGAACTTTAATTTTTTTTTCGTTTAAGGACACTAATTTTCTTAAAACTATCAATTAAGTATTTCCGTCTACCTTCGCTCCATTTCTTTATTATCTGATGATGTGTTCTTTATTAAAATACTTGGGTTTAATTTCTCTATTATATGGTGATGTGTTCTCTTCTAAAATACTTAGGTTTAATTTGGATTTGCTTCTTCGATTCAAGAAGTGGCTAATTATATACTCAATTTAAAAGACAAATTTACCTTGAATCTAAGTATACTCTCAATGAATTTGGCAAGGACATGTCTACCATCACATAACAAAACTTGAATTGGAATATCGTGAATTCCTTCAACAGTCTGATCTCGATATTCACATCCCTTGTTTGATAAATTCTAATGTCGGCAGTTCAGTGAGGATTGAAGAATATGCTAAGGAATGAGAAGATGCAAGGATTCAACAGAGATCTCTTGTCAAAGAAGGTATGAAGACTAATTAGAGGCAACAGAATTTTCATTCTAAAAGTTCATAAAAAAAAAATTGATATAAATCCTCATGGAACTTTCTTCCCATTCGTGAGCTGACACTAAAATTTAGTTGGGCTATACCCTTTGTACGCTTCTGCTTTTCATTATAATCCTCAAGCAAAAGGCTCTAGGATAGAAATGAACACAGTGAAATGAACTTCAAAAGTTTTAAAAGCTAAGCCTAGAGATTTATCTAATCTCAATCAAAACATATAATTACTTGGATAAATTATTTACTTCCACACCTTCTTAATTATGTTATTATTTATCACATCAAACTAACTTTTCCTAAGTGCACTAATATATCAAATTAGATAGAAGGATCTTATAGTTTAATTATACAAGTACTTCTTCAGGGTTATTCCATGTGATATTGAAGTAGGCTAGCTATAGCTAATGGTCTAAACTCTGAAGGCAAATCCATGAATCATGATCAGGTACTGATCTTGCTCACGGCTTTCAATAATTTCTCACTGTATGCCATGCAAATGAAGCAAGTGATGAAGCATGGGCAGAATCCATGTACCATCAAGAGGTCTATATTCAAGCCCTCAAAACCCTAAAACTTTCAAATCAAATGGCTAGCTAAATCTACTAAGTGCATGCTAACAAATATAGGCAATAGAGACAGGCATCATATTTTGTTGGCTTTTCTACATCAAGACCTACGTAACAAGAGCTTGTCATCGTACTAAAAGAATGATCACAATAATTACTTGTTAGAGCTAAGAGTGAGAGAATTACCTCAGCTTCATTAGAGAGACCAAGCTTTGTAACCAGATACTTCTTAACCATGAAAACAGTCACGTTCTCGTCTCTTTATTTTATGACAAGATGACCCCATTAGGGAAACAAAAAAAAGAGTAGAAAGAAAGCACCAAAACCCAAAAACAAAAGTAACTTTGTCAGATTGTCATCATTTTCTCCGAGCATCATCATTAGGAAAAAGAAAGAATATGCATGAATGACACTTCTGAACTGATATATTATGCATGATATGGCCATGTGTGTAAATACTCTAACGTGCACTTACTTAACTCTTATGTACGCTTTTGGTATTTGAGGCAGTGCTTCTCCTTCCCTGCCAATCCATAAACACAACCCAAATTAATCCCAAATGTAACACATTAAAGAGGAATTACAAGATATAGTAAGATGGAAAAGCTATTGCTAATAATCAATGATGTATTCTTTGCGAAAGTGAGTTAAAAAATAGAGAGAAGTGGCAGAAGAAGAAGAAAATATACTTAATTAATCAGCTTGTGAACTTGGACAAATGCACAACAATATTGTTCATCAACTCGATCCATGTCATAGAATGAGAGAGTGAGGGGAAACTAGCTAAGAAATCCATGGAAACAAAGAGCAGAGGCAACTAGAGGAAACAATATTTAGAGAAATGGTGGACGCAGATTAGCGAGAGAGTATTGTTGTACCAATAAAGTAATAATTAATAAGAGAAAGGAAGGATCAAGAGAGAAAGTGAAAAGAAAACCAACTTCTCATTTTAATGATTACAACCAGAGAAAACGGCACCAATTTAAGTACTCAGTTTTCAAAATGCAAAAAGCTAAGAGAATCCACTAGAGGGAGAGAGGTAGTTAATACAATGTACGGGATTGTAGCGATGGAGAAATTGAAAACACTCACTGGTTGAAAGAGGAACTAAGGGTAAACCACAAACTAGCTGAGTGGAGTCTTGTAGTTGTTGATGTTAAAGAAGATGGAGGAGGAGGTGGTGGTGGCGGCGGCGGCGGCGGTGGAGCAATTGTGGGAATCGTTGGAAACTGGCTTTTTCCACTTCAGGGAGCTGGTACTAGTCCTTGAAATCCTGTGCCATGGCCATGATTGTGATGATGACCTTGCTGTTAAATCAAGATTATGATCATGACCTTCTTGACCTTGATTGTCTTGCCACTTGCTACTTTTGTTATAATTGCTAAGCGGCGCCACATCTTTGTCCCTCCTGACACCACCACTACCATCATTATTATCAAACTCGACAATTCTTAACCCTAACTCTAATCTTAATGAATGGCCTATTTGCTGGTGGGCTTCAAACTGTACTAAAGAAGAGGCTTCAAAACTTGAAGTAGTGTTTGATTGTTCAGTGTTGTGTTCTTGCTTCCTGCATGTTGTTGTTGTGGTGATTCTACTAATTCCTAACCCTAACCCTAGCTCAAGCCAGTCTCTTTCTCGTTCGCCTTCTTCTACAGGGCATGAATAGTCATAATCATTGTGGGTTGTGTGAGAAGAAGAGGCCATGAGTGCATGCTTGCTAGAAAAGAAGGGTTAGGTGTAGTTTGGCTTGGCCTTTTATGTGTTATTTTGCAACTTCTTATTCAAACACCCACACCACATAGCTCTTTTTGTACATCATTTATCGTTTCCTTATCATAATTAATATTTATTAATGTCCTTTTGGTTTTCTTGGGATTAAAACTCAAAATACAGACCTATAGAGGATTTGAAGCCGAGTGTCTAGCTCTTTTCCGAGGCAAAAACTGGTCCTTTCTGCCCTCTTTAAATTTTTTTTCTTGTCTGTCTTTGCACTATGAGCTGTTAAAAAACTAGGATTTTTTTTTCGTAGTTTCAACAACCACACACGCAGAAATAAAGAGAGAGCAGAGAATGATTTGTGGTACCTGTTTACTTTCGTACTGATCTTGTTCTGTATGGATCAATTAAAAAAAGAAAAAAAAAAAAAAAGGAACTTCTACCATCTTAAATCTACTAGCTATCGTTCCTCTTTGCCCCTCCCCAAACAGTAGAGTTTGATAGTAAAAAAAAAAAAAAAAGGGTTGAAAGGTTTGGAGAGAGAGAGAGAGAGAGAGAGATGAGATGTTGATAATTGGCTTAGGTGCCCAAAAACAAAAGCAACCTGTCCTTCGCAGGGGCAAACAAGACCCCTCCCATGCACAGTTGCTCAGCATGAGTCAATTCAAGGAACAGTATAAAGACAAAATAATGCATTCTTGTAGGTGTAGTGTAGCCCATATGCATGGTTGCCGGCTATGGGATTGCAAGATTTTCATTTAGCTTTTGGATGGTAAAAGAAAAAGTGATGGGTTATAGTGATTAAGTGACGTAAGAAGTCCGTGTGATTTTGATTTGTCACGTTCAATCATGTTTGAGAATATTTGATGACTTAATTAAGTACCATCTTAATCCTTTTCCACAGCCCAAAATCTAACTAATTTTTTTTAAATGAAATTATATTCTTAATTTAAAGTAATATAAAATTATTATAAAAATTTTACTTAACAATTTATATTTTTAGTTTGAAATAAGTTTTTTATATGATATTAAAATTTGAATGACCAAACGGCTTCTCACCTCGCTTTTTATTATAGTTATAATTAAATAATGATAATAGCTAAATTTTTATTTTATTAAAAAACTTATTCAATCCAATCACAATCAAACACTTTAACACTATCTTAGTAAAAAAAAAAAAAAAACCTAGGAGAGTGCATGAACCGCATGCATCCTGCCGATCCAAATACGATAAGTAATCTTCGTGCAAGCTGAAGTCATTTTTGGACTAATGTCCTTAAAAAAGAAACTCTAGCAACATCAGCGAAATAAAGGAAGATATTAGGAACAAGACCATATATTTTGGGACTCCGTCCAAATGCGCAAGGTATCATCAGTAGAAGAAGCACCAACTTTATTTGCCAAAAAGTCAGCACATTGATTACCTTTTTGAACGTATGAATTGATTAGATGTACATTGTAGGGTACAATGATGGAGGTAGAAAATTGATTCTTAGACATAGAAAATATTGCTCGGAAGAAAATAAAACGCCAGATAAAATTTATATTTTCTTTTTCAATCAAAATGACATGAGTTTAGATATTTATCTAGAGATTTTAGTGAAAAATATTTTAGAGAATGTAGGATTGTTGTGTAATCTTTTTCGATCTATCAGAAGGTTCAAAGAAGTTTGGATCATATAAAAGACATTACTTTTTTTTTTTCATTATTTAAAGTACATCTTACTTTTTTATTAAAAATTTAATTTCACTCTTTATGAATTAAATTTCACCAAATTGTTTTACTTCTTTTTATGCCATATCAATTGGAAAAACAAGAAAAAAAAATGCAGTTTCTTTTTACTGCTTTCACGATGACACACAAATATATAGGATTAAAAGGATCTAATTATCATTGAATTTAAAGTCATTTAAAATTAAGTTAGTAAACTTTTTTATTAGTTTGATAGATTTTTTTATTTTTTATTTTTTTTGAAATTTAATCAATTTAATAATTTTCAGATATCATCTTATCTTTTTAAAAATTCAATTCTTAATATTTTGAGTTAAAAATTTACACATACATTGAAAAAAATTCAATCTATTTTATAAAAAATTTTAAAAATTTTCAAAATTAAAAACTGTATTTACTTAATTTTTTGAACATTAAAAATAAAAAAAATAAAAAAATTATCTTGAAATGATCACAATTTTTTTAAAAAGCTCCACATAAATCTTAGTTAATGTTTTTCATCATAAAATTTTTTAAGTTACTGTTATTTTTTGAGATCAATAACAAAAAATTAAAAGATAGATTAAATCTGAAAAAAAAATTAAAAATTAAAAATCTCTAAAACTAATAAAAAAATATCGAAAAACTTAAAGTTCAAAGATGTTTAGAATCGTTTAGCCATATATTTGGATGTGCGTGTGTTTTGGCAACTGTGCAGTAATCAAAACACCAATTCTCGTATGCCCTTCAATTTTCTTTTCTTTTTAATTTTTTTTATTTAATTTCTTAATAAGTTAGGCAAAGATCATTCATGGACCGTAACTTACCTTTAATTTTTAATTACCATATACTTATAATTGATCCACAGACTGATCAGTGTGGTCAGCCTGCTTTCATTATGAACATGGAGTTGATTAGTCTGGGCTGACAAACGTATCGGGCTTACGAGAGTCTGTGATAACCCACAATCCGCATTTATAGCAGAAGTGGTTATTGGTTTGTATTGTAGGCCCAATTATTGAAAAATTATTTCAATATTATTCAATCAACATCTTTTGCCATGAACACATAATGTAGTGAATGAAATTAATTAGAGTGACCCTTTTTTTAAGTGTAAGATTAGTAAAATGAGAAGCCAAATTAGTATAATTAATGTAGTCAACTGAAGCAATTTTGTTGATGCGATGATATATATGGAAAGAAGCAAAAATTATTTATAATTTTTCTTAACACGTGTATTATTCAACTAGTTTATTGTAATATTTTTTTGTAACCTCTTTCAATTATTTATAAATTGATAAAATTAAATATTTATTAAATTATAAAGTTTGATTTTAAAAAATAAAAAATAAACTTTAGCTATGTTGAAATAAAAATAAAAATTTTAAAACGTAGAGACATATTTATTAAACGTAATATCCAAAATGGGATAATTTAAAAAATCAATGAGATTATCAAATTAAGAAAATTTAAGTAAAATCATATAGATGCTGATTGATATGGTTCTTGTTTTCAAAAAAAAAAAAATTTCACTCGAAATGTCCTTGATTGAAATACAATAAAATAAAATAAAATTCTAAAGAATTCAAAAATAAAAAATGCGAGGTCATGTGATTTTAAGTGTATTTTTTTCTTTTTCTTTTTTTTTTTGAGTTTTTTTTTTATTTTAGTAAAAGACATTTCGATTAAAAAAATTCATAATTGAAAAAATGATCGGAATGACATATTAAACATTTCATAGACTTTTAGAGATAGATAGAATGTAACCGAAAATTTAGAAACATATGAAAGACTTTAAATATTATATAAAGACATGGATATATTTACTCTTTTTATTATTATGGGATTTATATTTTATTAATTAGACAATGTTGATTACAAGCCATAGAGAAAATAGCCACTAACAACAAAAAGGACTCACTTGACAAGATCGTCATGGTCGTCCAATTAGTGGTTAGAGTTTTGGGTAGGATTTCACTCTAATACCACTACTAGAAATGAACTAAGTTTAACAACCTCTCGTTTCCAAGCATTAATCTCCGAGTAGTAGTTCCGAATGAATGGTGGCCTAGATGCGAAGACTAGGGTTTTCGGGGACCCTATGCCTATTTGATCAACAACGATTTGTTTAAAAAAACAAATTTGTATACTTATAGTATTATAAAAGTTAGCCTAATCACCATGTAAAATAAACCCGTTAAGAGCCATAAATAAAGGGGCAAACTTGTTTTTTTGATAGTGTGAGCTAGGTGGTTAAATTTGTTAGGAAATGAATCAAGTAAAAGAATGGAGTAGAAAAAATATAAAAAATCACACAACACAAAGATTTTATGTGGTTTGGCAATGATGCCTACTTCATGACTCGCACTAGGATTTTTTTATTAGGGTTACAAGAAAAAAGGTCTATACACGTGGCCCAATATTTTATACACCTTTAAGGAGCCCCGTCTCTAAGCTTTTGTAAAAGGCACCGCCTCCTTGACCCTCGCTCACTAACCAACTGGCGAGAACATCATGCTGGTTTTGTATAGCATCTCATACTGCGGGTCTTCATTTATATCACTCTTCATAACTTCGTAGAAATAAACTTGTACCATCACGAAATGAATAAAAAAGGATTGTTCTTTACTTGTTCTCTTAACTAAAAAAAATGTTGAATATTTTAATTTCCATTTTTTTTATCGATTTAAAATGGGATTGTTTTTTTTTCACATCGAACTACTCACTCAACGTTTGAATTCAAGAGTTGTCACAAATGAAATTGTGCTAAACTTATGACTAGTTTTCAAGCCTTTAGAAGTCTCATGGACCTAATAATGTGAGATCAAACACAATGCCTCCTATTGGAGGTGTGGAGTAACATATATATGTCATTGTGAAAATAAAATCGACATGTTAGTCGAAGTTGGTGGTCATTTGGTCTACTCTTGATTTATGCATGTTGGCCCAATTGAAGAGCTTGAGCTTTTCTCCAAAGTATTTCAATGTTGATTTCTATGGTTGAAAAAAGAGAAGAAAAATTGATAGAGAAAGAAGAAAATTTGGTAAAGTGAGAGAGAAGAAAACTTGGTACGAGCTTCTTCTTAGTTACGGAAAAAGTAATTACAAGTTGTATTCATACTAAGCTAATATTGGACTAACTACTAACCAATTAACATAACCAACTAACCAAGTAAAACTAACTAATATACATCATTCATTAATTTATAAGCTAATACTCTCCCTCAAGATGAGTATGAATGTTGTTCATACTCGTCTTACCAATCAAAGCTTGGAA